GCATTATGAGCTACATGTTCTTCTCCTTCCTAGGGAGTTTTCGCGAGTTGCATCATATTTCTTGCTTCGAGAGGTCAAATAGAAGCTCATGTTAATGGGAAAAGGGAATTTCGAAAGGTCCTAGAAGTACCATGTATATATACCTTTCCTGGAAAGAAAAAACTAATTTATAGGATGAAGGAACTACTCGACTAAGACTCAACTGTGACTAGACGGCCATTTTACTAGTTAATTAAATACTTGGTTATTAATAATAATAATGAATAGTATTATATGCGGCGTCTATTTGAAGGCAGCAGTAATTTCTTTGACTACCGTGGCCCCAGGAGGCGTCTGTTCGAGGGAGGCAGCTACTCGGGGGCGGCTTTTACTCGAGGAATACGGTATGCACACACCCATGTCACATCTCTCTCTCTCTTTCATCTTAGGACTTTGTTCAGTAACTTCTGGAACATTCATAGATTTTATTAGAACCTTCTAGTACTCAGTTGTTTAGAATATTCCAGTACATGTACAGAACACTCTTACACATGTTTAGATCATTCTTGCACATGTTTCATGCACATGCTCACACAACTATAAATAGGCTCAGTGCAGCCACTGTTTTTGGGTCTTTGATTATTATAGTCTTTCTGTTATCGATTAATAATTTGGATAGCTATTGCTATAACAAGTAGCTGAACAAATCTATCATTAACTGAGGTATCGAAATCGAACTGTTCAAGAGGTGGCGCTTCCATTGAGATCCTCGTGCAGTGATTAAGTGTTTCATTAATCATTTGACTTCTTAATCGTGTCTTGATTCTTTTCATTGTAGAAAATCCTCTCTTCCAATCAGCTGTACTAACAGGTAAGGCCAGGAAGACTTGTGCCAGCTTACTTAGATTAGGGTATGCAACTGAAACAGTACCTTTATGAAGGGCTAGTGATGAGAGGTGCTCTTGCATTGACATTTTTGTACAGTTCCTGATCATATAAGTTTGATAATCCAGCCATTCCAATCTTAAGTCTTCAGGACAAAGAAAAGGTGATTTCCCAGAGCCATAGTGTTCAGCCAGTTCATCTATTGCGTCTTCTCCATAGTTTTGTGTCATCATATCATCAGATATACATGGTAAATTAAGAGGGTTAAAGATGTCAAAATTTGAAAAAAAAAATTAGTATCGGGTAACCGTTCCTTGATGTTTTCGATGTCAAAAAAGGTTTTTGAATATTTTTTAAGAAAGCATGGATTACTTCTGGTGAATGGGGAATATTGTATGGAGCCAAGTTAGATTCGTGATCTGATGTTAAACTTCTGAAGTGCTCCCCTTTCATAGGGTCATCAATAAGTGTAGCTAATCCCTCAGTGGCTGTTATAATATGCGAGTGAACTTCTAACATGTTCAGACCCGACAATTGAAATATCCTACTAAGCTTGGACACTTTGGGTAGGGCATCACACATCATGTATAAGGAAGCTACAAAATTGTATCGTTGGATAACTCTGCTTAAGCCAACTGCCAATGCCTCACCACGCTCTTCAGCCTCTCTTTCTAAGCTTGCAATGACTGAGGGAAGTATTTTTCTCAAGGCCTGACAAGCATTATTGTGAGAGAGCCAACGCATGTCCAGTGGTTTCTTTAATTTGATCTCGGGTGTTTTCAGAATGTCTTGTAATGCCTTAAGGCCAGTGGATCTGACATGGCTATTTTCATAAAAATTGAAAAGCTGACGTAATGTAGGTTTGAAAGTATCATTGATGAATTTAACGTTTCCTCCTGCTTGACTAGCAGCTAATGCTAATCGGTGAGCCAGGCAATGAATAGAGGTAAGTATTGGTTGTCTGTTTTTCAACCTGGTTGCAACACCAGTATGTTTGCCAATCATAACGGAAGCCCCATCGCTACCAAATCCAACTAGTCGTGACAAGGGAATTGAACAATCTGCAAGGTAAGCAAGCAAAACAGATTCGATTGCTTCGGCAGATCCATTTGGTAGCTCTGCAATCTTTAGAAAGACAGTGCGAGCTGTTGCATTAACATCTATAAAACGGGCGTAAATCACCATCTCGCTCAAAACTGATACATCAGTTGTTTCATCAATTAACAGAGAGTAAACAGGTGATGCTAGCATGTCATTTAAAGTTTGCTGTTCAACCTGTTTCCCCATAACTTGTAGAAATTCCATCATTATTCGCCTACTGGTGTACTTAGCATTTTCACCATGCTTAAGATGAACACAGCCCATGTATTCCACAGCTTTTAGCAACGAGTGATAGTTAGTAGTGTGAGGGATTTCCTCTTTAACAAGCCAGTATAGGCACTGCATGGCTGTCTTAACTGCCGCTTCACTTAATGAGAGCTGGCTTTGGAAAGCCTGCCTTATCCCTCCATCACGACTACTCTGTTCCCTAACCATTTCTTTCTCCATAGCTCCTTTGTGTTTTAAGGACTGACTATGACGACGAACACTATTCTTTCTGATACATGTACACAGTGTAGTACTCCATACTGTTGACTTATTGTACTTAGATGCTGTCTTGTGCCTTTTACAAACATGACATAGCATTCCAGTGACTCTTCCACACTCGTCTTTCACAGAAACTAACCAAGGAAACTCGAGCTCCCACTCAGTGTTATACCCAACAGCATGATGGCCTCTAGACCCTTCCTTTGTTCTTTTGCTGCCTGAGGTAGTCTTGACCGTGTCTTTTTCCTCAGTATCAGTAAGTAGAAACTGTTTCATCTTGCACTAGGGTGTGATGAGTTGTATTATTAATTTTTATTATTAAAAACAATAATGAATATAAAATAATTTTATTTTTGGAAAAAAAATTTAAAAAAAAATGCAGTGTAGTGTAGCGCAGCGGGGCGCCGCGCTACAGCGCTTTAGGGACAATCCTGATTCACCATCAAGCAATTTTGGTATTGACTTTTATGAACAAACTCTTAATTACTTGTCATAATTGCATTAAATGAATTTGAAAATTTAAAGAAATCATGACTAATATTTTTCAATGCAAGAAGATAATTATTAATCTCTTGTTATGAATGCAATTAATAATTCAATTAATCACAGTGTTATCAATATACAGTAGCTCAATAAGTGATTATTATACAAATGATATGTATCACTGACAATGAATAATAGACTTGAGTATTTTAATGGTTAGCTATTCCATTCAGAAGAAAAATTTGAAAAATTTCATATGAGATAAGCAACTCCAGCATGCCAGAGCATGTGTGAGTACAAGGTGTTCTCTTATAACCTTCACTCGAATTAAATACTTCTAGTAGTAAATCATTTGTGAGCACAGAACTTCCAGTAATATGGCAAAGAAAGTTCAGCAATGGCTCAGGCTTAAGGTGAGCTATATCAACCTTCAGAAAGAGAAAGACTTGTTCTTCAGCACCGCTCCGGCAATTGCAACAGAGAATTGAGAATATATTTTTGTTATTCATTGATAGACTCCTGTAAGTGTTGACAATCCCTTCTAGTTCCATGTCCTGCCAGAATGCTTTATGAGAATCTGGAATACCTGTGTGCAGCACATATAGCAGCTTGAATTTTTTGCATGAACTGGTACTTGGCATCATCGAAAAGTATACCAGCAAAAAGATTAGAATGAGTTGGTAGGTGCCGGCATCTGAATCATGACAAAAAGCTAAAGATTACGCGAGAAGTAGCAGGTGCATCACTAACAAATTGTTGCTGTTGCTCAGATCTCTGTCACAGATCAATGTGGTTTTTCATGAGTTATAAAAGTAATGGAGATGGTATGTCAACTTTTGGACCAAAAAGTACGACAACAGGATAGGTATTGCCATCTTAATTCAACAGAGTGATAGTTGAGTGTGGGGGTGAAATCACAATAGAATGTCCTTCGAAGAATTTTACAAATGCTTCTGCCCAAAAAGCAGAGTAAACGTCTACAGTAAGCCCACCATGATCAACTCCCATCTCATGATTAAATTAAATTTGCAAGGGAAATTCTATTAAAACATCGGTATGACAATCTGAATACAGTTTGAGTGTCTCACAATAAACATTCTTTTGATGAATTTATGCACTAACCCAGGAGTGGCACCAAAAGATAGGAAGAATTTCTTTCCTTTAAAGAAAACAAAAGCTAAGTTTAGGAGGTGTATCCTTTGGAGAAGTTAAAAATACATAAAATCAATGAAGTCATTAACAATAATTTTTTCTGATACATATGTATCTTATGTTGTGTAAAATAGATTCAGAAAAATGGTCGTATTTGACAAAATTTGGTTCTTTCTACTCTAGTCTTAGCAACTATAAAATCCAATTTTGACTGCACAATTTAACATGTGTATGCATCAGGAATGAACCATAACTCTATAATTGAGACATTTGTTAAAATACCCTGGTCTTAAGACCAGTTTTTGAGAAACTTGACGATTTTATATCCTCCAACCATTTTTATAATGATGGTTGATCAAGTTAAGCTGTTCAGACTCAATGTTTGAAAATTGTTTTCCTGTAATTTCAGGCTTTGCCAGGTATTTATATGTATTTGTACAATCTTACCTTTTCGCAAATCAATTAAGGAAAACAGTGGTAAAGAGCTTTCCATTTGATCCTTTTTTTAATTGAGAAATAAAAATAATTAAACTCTACGTGCAATACAATGGTTTAATACCCACATTGTCTAGCAAATTCAAAAACCCAATCAACATCAATCTTTAGATTTTTTTGCACTTTTATAAGACTTCTGTGAACATGACAAACTGTAACTCTTTAGTGAAAAATCCAATTGAATTTTAGGTAAGGCTGAACAGCTAATTAAAACAATTGGTACTGGTGATGCCTTATTAGTCAAGACAAAGCGATACATGTCCTGCAAACAAGCGAGGGAAATTGTTTCATATGAATCTTAATATAAATTACTCTAACAGTTGAATTTGAGCTAAAACTATGCACTCTTCTTTGCCTTGAGTGTTAATACTGCTTTAATTTCATCACCGTCTTCATACAATTCCAAATATTCCTCCTTCATTCTTTTGATTTTCTATTGCACAATGAAACTAAATTAAATCAAGCTTTACAATAAAAAACAGCTTCTGAAGTCAGTTGTACTTATAAGCTTATATGTCTTCCCAAGTTTTGATTTCTTTCTCTTTCTTTTATAAAAAAAAATAAAATAGCCACTGCCATGTAAAAGCTCACTTTAATGTTTTCTGATACTTCTGAAATTTAAAATATGTAATACTTATTAACATGGCCAGGAGTGATGGATCTATTTTGATTCATTGATCCTTAGGGCGCTTGCACCCAAAGGGGAGGAGACAGGCACTAGCCATGTTAAAATTGGCATATGTCACGATGATGCACATCAAAGGCTCTGTGCTAAATCATGCACAGATTTACTATGTGCTGACATTGAATAATAATCGCTGAAGGAGCTTGTGAGCAAGAGATTGAGAAGAAGATATTAGACGATAAAGACGTCAAAACTGTGCCTGAAAAGGAGATAGAAACATTGCCAAAGCTAGAAGAAGAGATAAAATTGGCATTAGAGAACAAAACACTGCATGGTACACCATAATTTTTCAGCCATTCAAAGCCGGATGCTGATCTAAACGAGAAAGCAATACACAATACGTCAAGCATGGTTCCTTGGAACAATGACCTTTATAAATCAAAAAAATTTTTCACAGGCATGTTGTGTAATTGGTAATCCAGCAGAGGTTTTCCGGCAATGATAGAATTTTAGCAGCCCTTTTCATGTCATCGGTACTATTCTGCACAAGTCCATCAAGATTATGAAGAATTATAATTGTTTTTGTTAATCAAAATATTAATTAAAAATCTTTGGTTAAATTGTGGGTAGCTTATAACATCATTGTGGGTGGGTTAGATAACTGGTGTGGGCGGCTTATACAAATGTTGTTGGCGGCTTAGATCATTACTGTGGTCTTGCTCGGTTAAAGTTTACACGGTACCTTTATTGTGCATCATCAGTAGGATATAAAACCAAGCTATTGACATTCAAAATGCATTAACCCTTTAATACCGGATATTAATTATTGTGGTTTACACCCCCGTACGGAATTAATTTTGTGCTCAAAATGAAATATGACTAGTACCACTTCAGGAAGCTATAATTTTAAAGAAAGTCATAGTTATGGACTTCAAACTTGGTATTGTTGATACTGGGATGTTTATCCATTTTACTGTTGAGCTTCTGAAAAAATAAAGAAGAAAAAGCATGCAAGCATCAGTGCTAAATGTAAACAACAGTATTTCAAGCAATAAAAACAAGATAATGCACAAAAACAATTAACCACTGTCTTCTAGAAATCTTATTATTCAAGAATTTCAGCTTTGATAAAGTTTGATTGAATAGAAAGAGAGCTGCAAACAGAAATGTATTGAGTAGTCACAAGAACTTGATCGCTGCCGTTGTTGCTATGCAGTTGCTAAGCAAATTCTGACCACACCCGTTATTACTTTTTATTCAAAAAAATCGTGCAGCAAAGTGCTGGTGCTTCAGCCAATTGTATTTCGACAAGAACTTATGACTTTGGAAAAGGAACTTTCTAAACTTATTGTAAAGATGTTTATCTTATTGTAATATAAATTTATAATGAAAAAAGTAATATGAAAAAGGCAAGCGTCACCAATAAAAGTAAATGTTTTAATTTCAAGAGTTTGCAGCAATGCAAAGCAATAATAGAGTATCCTACCTCTTCTACAAATCTTAGAGAGTTGCCACTAAAAGCTCACAGAAGTTTAGTAAAACAGGAA